CCTTTCGATTCAGCCAATCCCTTATATATAAAAGAACCCACGCCGAAAATGTTGTACTGCACGTAAAGTGAAGGATGACACGACATGTAGTGCTTTACAGTCGATTGCTCAAGGCTGGTAGAACGTACATTGTAATGCCTTACTTACCGACTGTTTTTGAGACCTCGCTTGGCACAAAATAATCTGATAACATATTTTGAGCCTTTATTGAGGTCTGTTTATCTGTTATCGGATTTTATCGTTTTAACCGAAGTCTCAGAAACAGTCGATAAGAAAGTATTACAATATACGCTTCACCAGCAATGAACAATCGACTATAAAACACTGCATTCCGGGTGATCTTTTCACTTTACATGTAATGTAACATTTTCAGTGTGGAATCCTTTATATGTATGGGATTGATTGAGTCGAAAGGCACGTGCTACTGACGAAGCTCGTTACAATAAGCCGAGACGTTCGTCTAACACCAGACGGGCCATAGCAGACCTCATGAAAGGCTTACAACATTACACCTTTATCTCGAGTCTTTGTTAAGACCACGCTTGAATTTCAGTAGATCCTTTCATTATTATTTGAGCCAACATGTCATATGGTCTGATAAGGGCTCTTGTACAGCCCGATACATGTGTTTCGTCCTTACAGACTCGTCAGTCGGGCAGAACCCGTCGTCTTCGATCTTTTTATCAGTCGGTTTCCTCGGGAGCCCTACTCTCCCTACAGAGAGTTATTAACGACGAACGTTTTACACTCTATGTCAAGTGAAACTTTCACCTAACACAGAGTGTTGCGCACTCGATTGCTCTTTGGCTGGTATTTTTTTTTATCATATTATACCTCTATTTATATCGGGATGTACAAGAGCCCTTACCAGACCACATGGCAAGTTGGCTCAAGTAATGATGAAAGGATCTATTGGAATTTAAGCGTGGTCTTAACAAAACACTCGAAGTATAGTAATATGATAGAAATATCAGCAAAAAAGCAGTCGATTGTACAGCACTCTGTGTTAGGTGAAAATTTCACTTGACGACACAGAGTGTAAAACGTTCGTCTTCGTTATCTCTCTGAAGGGAGAGCAGGCTCCCGAAAAAACTGATCAATAAAATGATCGAAAGACGACGGGCTCTGCCCGGCTGACGAGCCTGTAAGGACGAAACACGTGTATCGGGCTGTACAAGAGCCCTTACAGACCACATGACAAGTTGGCTCAAATAATAATGAAGGCTTGTGATATGTCATCAGACTCACCTCTCGCTCATTTATATACACAGTCCATTATGAGTTCTCTGTGCGATCCTAGCACTTCTCGCATTTATCTCCCACAGAGGTCCTCACACATTTCACATAGTTTTTCGGGTGGTACTTTATAGTTCGTCTTCCTCGTGAATGTCGTAGAATGTTGGCCCGAGACAATTCTCCTTCTAATTTCGAAGGTGGCTGGGCTAAGTATGGAACCATAAGCCGCTCGTTGATTGATTGCAAGAGATTGTCGGAGGAGGGGATGGAACCAGCGCATATATTATCGTTTTGCTTCTCTATACACTGCATCACTAATCACTGCGCTACCTCGCTCTTGTGTAGACGAACATCGATAAATCGTGTACAAGAAGCTATATTTCTACTATGAACACATCGTGTATAATACGACAGGTTCTGTTCTCATAATATTATATGTCGCTGTAACGTAGAGAGTGGTGGCAAATCAGGCTCCGGTAGTGCTGTTGGTTGGCACGCTCTCTGGGAAAGGTGAAATGCCGGTTCGATTCCCGCCTGACATCAAAGTTTTGCACATCACATTGTAAAGTATATATCTAACATCGTGCTACCGCATAAAAAGGCAGTTGAATGGAAAAAGTTCTTGTTGATCACATATATCTCGTCTTAACTCAGTCCTTATTGTAGATCGTTGAAGATTTCTTGCCTCAGGATATTTCGCCCGCTCAAGGCCGTTTGTTTATCTCTGTTACAAGGAGAGCGGTATGATTAGCAAATTCTTCATTCGTTTTCAGTTCCGTATAAGACTAGCGTGTTTAGGACGGTACAAATAAGCTCATTTCCCAGTTTTCGAGTCGGGAAGAACTGCTGAGATGTTTGATGGCCAGTTGTTACATTCCATTGTATTCTAGGGGCTATGGTGAGCCACCTGTGATTGATGGTGATGTAAGCTGTTCCGTAGAAGTTTTAAGGACTCAATAATGAGATAGTGTCGAGATAGAGATGTGATTAAGGCTTGTATAGATGGAGGATATACGAATAATCTACCGGATTTCGATGATATGCGTACGATAACTATCTCTCCATTCTCTGGAAATGCTGAGATCTCACCAATTGACGCAGTTAATTATTTTGACTGGAAGATGGTTGTCGCTAATCAGACGATGAATGTAAGTTATGCAGCGTAAGTTTCTCACATATAAGCCATCTGTTGGAAGTTAGTTGTTGACAGCTCTGATAATTCATTTCGAAGGAAAAGTGGTAGTGAGTCTGTGGCCTCGGCATAGTGGATAGCACGTGCCTCCGATATAGGTGAAACGCGGGCTCAATTCTCGCTTAAGGTCGATTATTTTGCAGTTGTCTTTCAACACTCAGATGTAGAGTTAGAACAAGATAACACTGCTAAAAAGCAGTAAAATAAAGACATAAAAGATTTTTCTCATGTACTTAATCTACTGAAGTTTAGCCTGAACACGTAGGGCTTTGAGCGGTGACTGCGTTAGACAATCTATAATACCCTCCGAGATTTTCGTGGCGTATTTTCTCTTAATTGTTAGAGAAGTTGAGAACCTGACACGCTCATAGTAGGTGTTACAAGAACTCTTTTATTTGACAGCTTTCTAACTGTGCTATGATACCTTTATGAAAAAGTACCAGGCAATGAGCAATCGAGTGCACAATACTCTTCTGGGTTCGGTGAAGGTTTCACTTAACATAGAGTGTAAAGCGAACGTCGTCGATGACTCTCTATAAGGAGTGTAAGGCTCCCGAGAGAACTGACTATAAAAAAAGATCGAAAGACGACGGGTTCTGCCCGGCTGACGAGTCTGCGAGGACGTAACACGTGTATCGGGCTGTACAAGAGCCTTTACCAGACCACATGACAAGTTGGCTCAAACAATAATGAAAGAATGTGCTATAATATATTATAAAATAGTGACAGCAGAACAGGAGCCCTGGCAGTGCAAAAGTTAGTACGCGTCTTGTGGAAAGGGTGAAATGCTGGTTCGATTCTCGTTCCACGTTCAAGAATGCTACTTTATTTCCCATTTGATTGGATCTTTTCTCAAACGCTGTTATAAGTCAAATGTCTGAAATTCAAATTCTCAAGAAAATCGGAAGTAAATTTCACTTCTTTATTTGAATCAGGTATACAGGTAGAGAGGCTGTCGAATGAGGACACCGTATGTTCTCCTGGAAGAGATGTATTACTACTTTTGTTTTTCAATATGGAAGCTGTAAATATCTAAGAAGAAAAGCTTCTCCAAATGACTACAAAGAGCAAAATTCTATCTTTACAAAGATTTAAATGTAACTCATATTACCTGAGCTAACTTGTCATGTGGTCTGTTAAATGGGTTGTACAGCCCGATACACGTATTTCGACATTGATAGTCTCATCAGTCGCAGAGAACTCTTTGTCTTTTAGCCAGTCATCTGTGGGTGCTCCAGTCCCTCCAGAAAAGCTGCTGTTCTAGTGATTTTCACTTGACAGCAGTCTAAATATGTCCTTCGTCTCCAACTCTTAATGTGTGGGCTGGAGCACCCACAGAGGATTGGTTAAAAGACAAAGGGTTCTCTGCGACTGATGAGACTTCCAATGTCGGAACACGTGTATCGGGCTGTACAACAACCCATTTAACAGACCACATGACAAAGTGGCTCAGATAACAATTATGAGATATATTGAAATTCGAGCGTGGTCTTAAGAAAACACTCAATAAGAACGATATAATCAAATCTAAGTTATTGGCAAAAGATTTGTAGGTGATACCTAAATTCAATAAACTTTATACGAACTGGAGCTTGAAGGACTGAACCAAAGTTTGATTTTGAAAAGCGTAGTGATCTACATGGACGTAAGAGTGGTACAGGCACCACATGTCGAAGAAAACTTTTGTAATCCGAGCTCCAATAGCGCAGTGGTTAGCACGCGCCCCCGCTAGTGGTGGAAGACGAGTTCCCTCCCCATCCAAGGTTCAAAGTGTTGCCTATCACTCAAACTTATCATTGCTAAAGGCGGCTAAAGAAGGAATCTTTGTCGATTTCACAATCTATTTCAGGTGAATATACAAAATATTGTTCGAGGAGCTCAATCGTTGTTCCCGCCATCACGTATTCTTATGCAAAATTATTTCGATATGGGATACAGGGATACGCTACGATTTCTCATCAAACACGACATTGTTCAGCGGCCGAAAGGAACAGAAGTCTAACGGATCCAATGAGGAACATGTTTCCATTCATTATGATGCCAATTAATTGCCTTATCTCCTTATACAGCCTAGGTTGATCCATTTACATTTCGATATGATTCACCCGGGTGATAGAGATCATTTGCTATGGATTTAACATGATTTTGGATGAGCTTTAAGATATACTTGAATTGTAGTGCAGTTGTTTAGAAGTAAAAGTTTTCTCACTGAGTATAGATCCATTTTTAGCGTGAACTAAATATTAATAGGTTGTAGGAAAAGTTCTGTCGTATTGTACGGCACAAATGTCTTGTAGTACAAATTTGAGCTCACTAGAAAACTCATCTTTTCCTGCATAAAACGTTATAACATTTATCTATAAAGCCTTGGAATGGAACTGTTAAAGGAAGGAATTTGTCTGCTGCTCAACTTCCACTACAAATTGGGTGTTCGTGCTTCCTTCCAGCCTTCTTCCCAGAATGATATATTATTTGTCCACACAACTTTCAGCCCAATCCGATAACGGATCCATAACTCAGTCTATAAATTGGGATTACGTTGTAGCGTATAAAGAGTGGGGTGCCAAAACGAGCGTCGGTGGTGCAACGGATTAGCACATGTTTCCGGTAAGAGTAAAATTCAGGTTCAAATCCCGGCTGACGCAAACGTTTTTGCCCACTACTCTACATCATTGGGTTTTTTAAATTGGTACACTTTTTGCCAAGTTCATTAGAAGTCGATGCTAACTCACATGAGCTGATGTTCTTCAAAATATATATGAGTGGAAATCTAATTTGAAGTATAAAGATGCCATAAAATTTTTTTAACAAGTTGTAGAAAGTCTATCGCATTGCCGAGAAGACGAACTCTACACATGTATTTTTTGGGAATTTAAACTAATTAAAAAGTGGTTTTTTTTTCTTGAGTAGCACACGATATTCCATTTGTCTAGACAGCTTTCAGAATGGAATTTTCAGAGGAAAGAAATCTGTGTTTTGCTCCATTTCTGCTATAAATTGGGCGTCAACACTTCCCACCGGCCTTACACACTGCAAACGCGACAAAAAGCTATTTGGTAGGCTTAAGAAGGAAGATTTGGGGCGTCTGCCGTACAGCCCAAACTTGGCACTAAGTGACTATCACTTATAGTTCGAACGAATCACTTTTCGGGGGCAAGAAGTCCCGAAATACTCTTAAAATTGAGAAGAATCTTCAAATTCTCTACAAATCGAGCTATCGTAGATTTTACCGCCACAAATTCCTTGAGGTATCGCATATGTAGCTGAACTGTCTTAATGTGGAAGAGACCACTTCGACTATTGATTTGTCTTTTGATCTAAGGTGATATGTGAAACTTTCGCTTCAGGCGGGACTAGAACCCGCGCCTCACACTATCCGGGAGCGCGTGATCTATACGTCACACTACTGACGAAATTTAATGTTTTTTATTGGAATTACAAATAAGTTTTTCCCATATATTTTTGGAATAGGTCATGACTTTTCTACAAACTATCATCTCAAGCAATTTAACCCTTTCAGTGACCCTCACGACAAACTATTTCACGTTACCGAGTGGACTTAACTCCCTCTCTGCGACACCATATGGTTCATACAGTCCCATTCTCATAAACTATAACGTCATGATATCCTAGTTGAAATCCCGATATTACTAAAGACAAAAAAGTTTATCACTAGAAT